CAACTGTCAACACATAATGCATATAAACACATTGGCCATATGCACAATCAACCAACACATAAAGTTAATGTATTCTATCAACCGTCATACTCTATGACATATCCAATTGATTAGTTTTAGTTTGCCTAATCATCATGCATTGTCTACAACAATCAACACTACCCTCCACCGGTAGCCCAAAGCAATTATTTCTAAGCAGGAAATAAATGCACAAATGGATAATATATCAACATTTCAACTAGATGAGCAATAAAGGATTCGACTACACTCTTTAGTCCCATACATTCCCAATTTCAACATTCTCAATTCAATTCCTCATTTTCTTCAATTAATTATATGCATTAATTAATTAAACCAATTAGGGCAAATTACCATAATTCACAAAACAACCCTAAGGTTCCATTTCCATCAATGTCCCAACATTAATCTCATTTCTCTATGCCTAACATGCATATAGGTTTATATATTGAAAACAAAATTACACAAAGGACCAAACTTTCTCAAAATTACCCAACAACCCCCGACATATCAAAATGCTAAAATTCAAAGACAAAGCTCATAAGATGGAGTAGGTTATCCCTACCTCGAATGATGGGGCTCAATGAAGGAGATGAAGAAACGGAAATGCTCCAAATCCTGAAATTTTTAGATTAAAAGATAGCCCTCAACGATCAACACAACTTTTGTAAAGGCCCAAGGTGAGAAAACAACTCCTACTAGATCAATCCTAAGAAAGAAGTTAGGGTTTTAATGAGAGAAACTGTCAAAATAGCTTTTTGGAAAAGTAAGAGAGAGAAAGGATGTTGAAAAGTGAACAAAAAGGTCGGATCTCGACTTTATATAAAAGTCGCCCCGCTCGAGCGGCAAAATCCCCGCTCGAGCGTCACTCACAGATCCCTGCTCGAGCGTCCAATTCCCCGCTCGAGCGTCTACCGCTGCAGACGAAATACTGGATGGGTGATTTCCCCGCTCGAGTGCCAACACCCCCACTCGAGCGAACAAGCAACAACAGAGTCCCGCTCGAGCGTCAAAAGCGCTGCTCGAGCGGAGAGACCAAAAACTGAACAAAGATTTTACGTTTTAAAACACAACCAACTTATTCCCAACTTCCCAACACAACCTAAAGCTCGAACACAAAGAGAAAGGGATAGAAAGAGGATAAGACAACAGCACCCTTACGAAACCGAATCTGGATTACAGTTAAGCATGAAAGGAAAAACTGGGATCGCTATATCACCTGGCAATCTCCAATCTTCAAAGTTACCACTAAGGCATCGTTGTGAGGATGTTGTACCATGTCCAAGTATGCCTCAGTGAAAGAAATCATCGGTCGCTGATATTAATTTGTTGTGGGCTTCTTATGCTAGAATTGATATACATGGTGCAGGTGCCTTACTCGCTGGGACTCCCTTCGAACTTCATTCTCGTTAACCTTTGAGTGAACCATAGATTACACAAGGTCTATCTGCCTGCTGCGGGGGTGGTGGTGGAGGTGGTGCTGTTGGAGCTTGGGGCAACCTCGCGTGCTCTTTCCTTGTCTTTGCTTTGTCTACTAGGTCTCTTAGGTGACCTTGTCTAACGTGATCGTCCAAGTGTGATTTCAGAGCCCTGCATCCCTAAGTCAGGTGCCCATCTTGATTTTAGAGCGTTGTATCCCTAAGTTAGATGCCTCCCTCGTCAAATATTTTTCAAGAATTTTACTTCATCAAATCTTTCTAACATAATTTCTAGAGGGGTGGTCAAGTATATATGCAAAAACATGTTACTATCTCGAAAATATCAATATAGAGATAACTGGTGCAGTGCATGTACCTGTGGAGACAACTGACACAGTTGGTAGAAAAATATATGTTCTACCAGAACAACTGGTCGGTCGGCCACTAAGGGGACGGTCGGCCACTAATTTCTGGCCAGCTGGCCACTAGTTGGCCTGCAAGCCTTTGAGTGGTCAGGCTTGGAAAAATACTATTTTGGTCCAAAAGTGGTATAAGGTTTGTAGGCTTCTAAGACTTAAAACCGGGGCTCCCTGCTGAGGAAATCAAGCATTTGTATAACGTATAAATTCATCATTGGGTGATCAATTTGTGGAGCCCAGGTCTTAAGGACGGTCAAAAATGGAGTGTCTACAGTAGGCTACAATGGATTCATGGAGTAGTAGCTCACAATTTCAGTCAGATTCAAACCCATTTAATGGTAGTAACTCCAGCGTAGCAGTAGAAAATGAGAAGAATAAGAGAGAAAAACGGAAGGAGAGAGGCGGAGTTGTTTAGAGGGAAGCAGAGTGTGCCAGAGACGAAGAAGAACTTTGGTGGTTGCGGTATCTTCTCCTCTCTCTCTCTCTCTCTCCGTTTCTCTTTTCACATTTTTTTTTCTTTCAATTTACCCACCGAAACGACATCGTTTTGGTGAGTTTAAATCTCATCCCTTAGTTGGTGAGTGTGCCACATGTCGACTACTGTAAAAGATCATTGTAGGGTATTACTCTAGTGGATCTTAATCCTAACCCCCCCTCTCTCTCTCTCTCTACTCCTCTACTGCTCCTTTGTCGATGCTCCTATATTGGTATCTAATACATTTGTCGTAGGTGCTAGAGTACCAAGACTCTGTCGATCATCACCAGATCGTGAATCACCACCAGATCGTAAAATGTAAGGCCCTCATATATGAGATTTGAAAATCGACGAGATGCGAATCGACAATAAGCTCTTTCCTGCTCTCTTCTGTGTTCGTCATTATCATTTCAACATCACTGGCGAGTTTTATGACGCTTCCTTTTGCCACTTGTGAGTTACCCCTGCAATCGTGAACCACTACTTCCGTCATTGTCGCCGGAAGTACAGTGAGTGTCCAGCAGTCTCCGACGATGGTTGAGAGCCTCAAGTGAGGTTAGAGAGAGAAAGAGAGAGAGAGATCAGAAGCCTCGTCTCTAACTGATAGAGTTGTCCTGGTGTAGATCTACCTTGCTACGACATAAACTACTCTGGATCTAAGCCTTTTTCTGTACAATTTCAACTCTTATCAGTCTCTCATTCATGGTGTATGTATTTGATCCTTATCATTTTCCTCTCTGTTTGGTTTCAATGTGCTTATGCACATTGATTCACTTATTGGTTTTTGTTATTTTATTTTATATGTGTAGGGGAGCAAGAGCAAGAATGTACAAAGCATTGATTTGCTGAGCTCTTCACCTTTCAATCTCAATCTGACTCTGGTGCCATCCAGCTAACCGACAATCTTATCACACACCTCCTGAAACCCACTACAACCAACTCAGATCTACACTCCAGATCTGTAGATATGCTTCATCCTTTTTTTTTGTTTTATTTTTTATTTTTTAAATCTTGTAGTATGACAAACTCAGAACTCTCAGCCATGGCTGAGATGGTGGTTGTTGTTGATTATTTGTTGTTGGATTTGACTCCAAAAGCCTTTCTTTCTTTTTTTTCTTAGTAGTTGATTATTTTATTGTTGTTGTTGTTGAATTATTGTTTGAAGAGACCCTAACTTTCTTCGCCGCCACCTCCAAGCCGCCAGCTGGTGTCATGGATCTGACTCCAATAGCTTTTTTTTTTTAGTAGTTGATTATTTTATTGTTGTTGTTGTTGAATTATTGTTTGATGAGACCCTAACTTTCTTCGCCGCCACCTTCAAGCCGCCAGTCAGTGTCATTTCTCTCTCTCCCTCTCTCTCTCTCTCTCTCTCATCTCTTCTCTTCTCCTGCTTATGTTCAATAGATATGTTAAAAATAAGAAAAATAGGTTTGCATAGATAAAACAATTTATCTGCTTCATGTACATACATAAATTTATCTTGTTTTTATTTGTTTTGAACAGATAAAAAAATTAAATAGATAAACAGGTAGAGAAAGAAATAGATAGAGACGAAAAAGAGAAGTAGAGAGAAGAACAGATAAGGAGAGAAAGTTTGAAATTTTTTTGAATTTGAGCAGATAAAAAAATAGGTTATAAAATTCAATAGATAAGTTAAAAAATTCAATGGGTAGAAAAATATTTGAACAGATAGAAAATAATTTGAACAAATATGTATAAATTTGAACAGATAGTAAAAAAAGTCAACGGATAAATTAAGATGTGGAATTGAAAATAAAGTGTCGTTCAAAACAAATAAAAAGATTTCTCACCAAACTATTTTACAAAGGATAGACCTCTTACCAGCAAAAAAATGTCCACTGAACCTAATACTTTATATCCTCCTTAGATTGGAGTTTTCAACAATTATCTCAGGAAGAAAAGGGTAGGTTAGTTTGTACCAAAATGCATTTATAATTTTTTCAAATTTCTATGATAGTGGTGATATTTAGGGATTGTTTGGGAAGTGTTAAATTAGTACAATTCTTGACTTTTTATGAAAAAATGTGAAATATGGGTTAGGTTTGAAGTAATGTTGTAGAGAAGTGATGTGACTCAAATAAGAAGTGATGTGACCCAAATAAGATGATTGTGACTCAAATAAGATAATGTGCTAAAATAGCATGCGTTATTTTAGCACATGCCAAACAACTCCTTAGTATCATTTAAGGGGTTGTTTGGCAATAGCTTTGTGGCTAAAAAAGCTCAAAAAAATAAAATAGACTAAATAAGTTAATAAGATAAAATGCCATATATAAATTATAATCATTTTACTTTTTCTCTTACAAAAATCAAAAAAGCCAAAAAAGTCATATCAAACAAACTTTTAGTTCCAAACTAAAATAGTCAAAAAGTTAAAAAAATCAACTAAAAAAGTCAATTGCCAAACGACAACTTAATGGATTATTAAAAAAAAACCCTTCAACAAAAGGCATAATTAATATGAAAAATTCCAAACATACAAAAAATTTAACAATAATGATGTGACAATATCATTATTATAAATAAATCCATCTTTAATGATGTTTTGTTTTGAAATAAAAGGTCCCCAATGAATCATATTATTATGTATGAATTGTTTATTTTTATAACATTGCTAATATTTGACTAGGGAAATTAGGGTCCAGTAACTGTTTATTTGCACATAATATTTCTTATACGATGGAGTATTGAATATTTCTTTCACTCTGTCTCTTTCTCCTTCTCTCTCTCTTTCTGTCTCAGAGTGTCTCCATGTTTGGGGGAAAAATTCTCTTGGCAGGGTACACAACCCTTGTTGCTCTTGTCCTGTTTACTGTAAATTGCTATGCTAGGAAGAGTCACGACCACTGTGACCCTTCTTCGTGTGGAAATAATGATAACATCACCCATCCCTTTAGATTGAAAGGCGATCCAAAAAACTGCGGAGACAAGAGGTATGAATTGGAGTGCGTGAATAATCGCACAGTATTACACTTATTCTCTGGAAAATACTACGTGGAGGAGATCAACTACGACAACCATACAATCAGAGTTGTGGATGTGGGCATACACAAGGACGAATGCTCCTCTCTTCCTATTTATTCTCTAACGTCTGACAACTTTAGTTATTCTGTGAATTCTCCATATTTCTTGTCCTACTCAGAGCCTAGAGCTGTCGTAGTGTTCATGAATTGTGAGAACCCAGTGAAGTCTCCCCTCTACATGGACAATAGTAATAGGCGTTCTTGTGCCAAAGGAGGAGGAAATTCTTCGGGGTCTGTAAAAGGGCAATATTTGTACGTTGTGGTGGGTGAGTTGAAGGTGTCAGATGTGGCGGATTTGTGTACGGTGGAGATGATGGTTCCGATTGCACAGCCGCCGTTGTTGATGAATGGTGAAAATCGTGGGAACATTTCCATTTCCTTCTTGGACGTCCACAATGCCATGGCTTATGGATTTGAGCTTTACTACTACAACTACAACGGTTTCTGTCCACCGAATTGGTCGTCCTTCCATTGTGCGTAAGATTTTTTTCTTCTTAATACTTTAAATCCTGAATTCTAATTCAGTCTCTTCATTCGCTAACAATATGATCAAATAAAAATATTCCTTTTTCTTTTTTTTCTTTTTCTTTTTTTTTTTCATTGTAAAAGAGGAAAATATTTCTCTAAATAGGTCCTTTCTCTAAGGTCATGTTTGATTCACAAGACTAATAGTGAAGTATTAATAATCTTATTAAATTAGTGTGGTATTCGCTATCCAATTGGATTAATATCCATTTGATTAATAATCTTACCCCTACCCCATTACTAATAATCTTACAAATTTGTTAGATTAATTATCCATTGGATTAATAATCCTAAATCAAAATATTAAAACAAATATAGGATAATTGGGTCCACGGATTAATAATCCCAATCCCATGTTCCAATCTACTCAATCAAACATGCCCTAAATAGCTTGAGGACCATCATCTTTCATATAACGTAAAATCTAACAACCCAGGATCACCATATTTGCAAATAGCATAGTCAATGTGAAGAAAAATTAAAGTTGACTTTGGATAGATACAGATCAAGTTAATTTAAGCAATCTAACTTGTAAAAATAAAATTAAAAAAATGCCCTTGATTTAAAATTATCAACACCGTTACATCCACCGAATTTATTTAGCCTGAATTCAGACTAAATAAATTCAGTGGACAAATCATTAATCTAAAATTATATGTAGATCAAATTATAAAGTTTACTATTAAGAAATTGTGTTACCATCTAAAAAATAAAAAAGACGTTTTTTGGCCCTCAATTTTAAAATTTTAACATTCAATTTGAATTTCACTTTTTTAGAATAGAAAATTTTAATTGTTTGGAAACATCAATTTTCAATTTTGTCATTTTGCAGGCCTCAATTTGAAATTTTTAGTCTTAGACATAAAATAAGGCATCATTTTACTTTGAAAAATAATATTCAAGTTTATTTTTTAAATTCACTTTTTAAACATATGTTAAGATAATGATTAGTTAATATCAATCAATCGTCTAGAAAGTGAACCATGTTCTTTTACTTTTTGGATTAGCTTTCTATTTTGCGATTTTTAGCCTCAAGTGAAAACTTTAATATTTGGAAAAAGTGAAATTTTACTGTTTTGGGTAATGATGAGTACACTGAATATTCATTAATTAATTTATTTATTTTTTATTCGCAAACAAAAGATCTCAAAGAGAGAATTCCAAAAATTCAACTTCATCAAAAACGAAGATATATGTTAAAGTTATGTTTTGGTTTTAGAAAATTGAGTCCGCGTTTTATAAAATTGAGTTTTTTTATTTTTTGTTTTTAGTGAATTTTTTAAATATTTTATCTATTTTTTTTTATTTTTTAAATATAACTAATCTAAATATTCTTAAAAATTTTAGTATTTGTGATTTTTTTTTTAAAATAAAAAATTTACCAAACACAGGAGTACATTTTTGTATTTTGTTGTATTTAATAAATTTTTTTAAAGATTTTTATATAATTTTTTTACTTTTTAAGTATATTAAGATTAAGTGGATCTAAATTTTTTTTTAAAATGATTGAAATATTTAAAAAATTATTAAAAATACAAAGATAGGAATTGAAAACTCAAAAAAATATTTGTAAAAACTCAAAACCAAGTATAAAAAAATTCTAAGTTGTTAAACAATTCAAAAACTAAAAACAGTGCTATATTTATGCTGGGAAATGCTATGGCAGCATATGCAGCTCCGACAAAATATGTAATTTTATTACAAAATTTTATAATAATAAGTATAAAATGTGTAATCTCGTTATAAATTAGCGTAACAAAAAATGTCGTAATCAAATTATAAATTTTTGCAACATCAATTATAAAATTTTAGATATTTTGTTATGTCAATTTGTAACGAGATTGTACATTTTGTAATTTATATTATAAAATTTTATAATAAAATTATATATTGTTATAATAAAATACATATGATATGTACCTAAAGAGATACACACATAGAATTTCTCATCTATGTTACATTATTGTATAAGAGTATTTTTATATGAATCTAGCCCCCTCACTATTAGAGGACAGGAATTAGGAAACCTGTTTTTGTCCAAACAAAAAATCCTTTATTTAGTTTAAAAAAAAAAAAAAACTGGCTTTTGCAAAGCATGTGGCAAAAGCATGTGGTTTTTCCATGATTCTTTAATTTTTTTCTATTTAAACTTTGATGTGTTAAATTACTCTTAATCTCAGCCATTCATCGAACCTGCTTATAACTTGTCTAACACAGGAATTTTTTTGCAAAGCATGTGGCATTCTCTCATTTTTTATTTCAACTTAAGTTGTTTTTTTATTAATAGATGTGGACAAAAACTTAAAAGTAAAAAGAAAAAGCAAGAAAAATGAAAAAAAAAATCAGGTTATATTTTATTTTCTCTCACCTCTTTCTATTTTGTTTTTAAATTCCTAACCAAATTTATAATTTAAATACAATATTAATGTGAATCAAAATTTTACCTTAACGATACCAAATAACCGTCAACCCTTAATAACCATCTTAACCATCCATCTCAGTACCAGCATACACTTAAACTAAACTGTATTAGTCCCTCCCTTTCCTTCCCCTTACCCACAACCCTCCTTCCATTTCCCTTCCTCCACAGCCACATATTATCCATCACATTTGCATATAATAAGTCGATATTTAAGAGTTGTATACAATTTAATGTACTGATTCAATTTATTCCTTTTCTAAGATCTTCCCATTCCCCCACTGCCATCTACTACACATCTCAACTCATATTTACATACACTTATACAGCGTTTGGTTGGGAGATTTTGAGATGAATTTGAAAAGAGAAAGGAAAAATATAGGTGAAATTTAAATAAAATATACTTACATTTCACCTAATTTTACACATTTTTTCTCTTTTCTTCTCTAAATTCCCCAATCAAACACAGCGTCAGTGCACCAATAAACCGATATGTAAGAGTTGTAAATTGTATATTGTGCTGATTCAACTTATTCCTCTTCTAAGATCTTCATATTCAAATCAGAGATAGTTTATCGATATCTTGCAACTCAACATGGATTCCACATTCTGAATTAAAACAAACTATGCTCCAAATCCACGTAATAGAGAACTATTTCTACAATCAAAACTAGGGGCGAAGGTGGGGAATGATAGGGGAGGCATTGGTGGTGGCAAGAAAGGTAGGGAAATGGAAGAGATACTGGGTATGGCAAAGGCGGTGGGAGACGGTGGGGATAGTTTGTGTTGTCTCTCCTAGTGTGAGATCATTTTGAGAGCAATAAAGGAGGTGATGGTGGATATTTATATCTAGGGAAAGGCTACAGTGTGCAACCCCTTCAAGAGTGCAGACTATACGTATTCTATTATAAATTGACATAGTTTTGTTATAAAATTTTGTAACATCAATCATAAAATGTGTAATCTTACTATAAATTGGTATTACAAAAAATATTATAACGAAGTCACAAATTTTTGTAACATCAATCATCAAATTTTGAACATTAAGCCAAATTGTTACAAAATTATGCATTTTGTAATTGATGTTACTAATTTTTGTGGTGAAATTACACATTTTATGATAGAATGCATATTGTGCGTACCGGATTCCGCACTAGATGAAAGTGGATCAAGGCTCCGCACTCGGTTGGACTATCCAGGGACTGAAGTTCCTGCGACAAAAGGCACCGTTAGAGCTACCCGGTCGGGGTTGGCCGGATGACCCCTCCGGTGCGGGAATTAGTTATCGGAGAAGGGAGTTGAGTATGGTTTTGCTTGGAATAGTTCAGTTCTATTCAGTTACCTTCAATGTGAAGTTCATGTAGTATATATATGTTATTCCTTGCTTGCTTCTCAAGGTGGATTCATGGAGCTTGGATGCTGCCAGGTGTCCTTTTGGCTTTACTCATGGTGGGGGACCACCTGTTAGTTGTAAGAGTTGTAAATTGTATATTGTGCTGATTCAACTTATTCCTCTTCTAAGATCTTCATATTCAAATCACAGATAGTCTATCGGTATCTAGCAACTCAACATGGATTCGACATTCTGAATTAAAACAAACTATGCTCCAAATCCACGTAATAGAGAACTATTTCTACAATCAAAACTAGGGGCGAAGGTGGGGAATGATAGGGGAGGCATTGGTGGTGGCAAGAAAGGTAGGGAAATGGAAGAGATACTGGGTATGGCAAAGGCGGTGGGAGACGGTGGGGATAGTTTGTGTTGTCTCTCCTAGTGTGAGATCATTTTGAGAGCAATAAAGGAGGTGATGGTGGATATTTATATCTAGGGAAAGGCTACAGTGTGCAACCCCTTCAAGAGTCCAGACTATATGTATTCTATTATAAATTGACATAGTTTTGTTATAAAATTTTGTAATATCAATCATAAAATGTGCAACTTCACCATAAATAATATAACAAAATATTCACAATTTTATAGTTGATATTACAGAAATTTGTGGTTTGATTACGATATTTTTGTTATGTCAATTTGTGGCTAGATTAAACATTCTAAGATTGATGTTACGAAATTTTTTAATAAAGTTATGTTAATTTGTGGTAAGGTGCACATGACACCATTGGATTTTTCCTATAATCTATACAATATATCTTAAGCAACAGCCTTAGTGGTATCGTGAAGCCTTTTCTTCTTCTCATACTACATGACTGATTTTTCTATTTTAAAACAAAAAGATTATTCAAAGAGATGGGCAAAGAATAAACCCAAGACCTTATTTTTAAGAAAAAAGATTCTTACCACTTAGGCAACATTTGTCTTATAATATTAGTTTGTTATCATTTATTTTTATTCTTATTTGAATTACATATGCATTTCGTGTGGCGCCCGCTAGTTATATTAGTGAACAAATCACTTTGTTTCTTGAAGTTTCTTATCTCCTTTTATCAAGTGGCTATTTTTCCAATTAAAAAGAAAAAATAGATAAAAGGAAGAAGTGAGACTTGAACCCTTAGACCTAATGTTTGATGAAGAAGATTCTTACCAATTGACTAACACACAACACATAATAAGTAATTTATTTTTATTTTATTTATTTGAATTGCGCAAGCATTACATGTGCCAACTGTTAGTATAATATATAGGTAATTCTATTTCCACATACTAAACCCTTTCATTACACATCTCTTTACAAGGCACACAATTAATGATTTTCAAATATCAAATTTTGCTCAGTAGACATCCTTTCTTGTTAAAAATACCTCTAACTCCTTTAAACCCAACCTAACCCTAGCTACCACTCGCTACCACCATGAACCACGACGAACTCTGGCCACCATCGCGAGCCTCCTATCTCACATGCACTGCTACTACCATCTCTGGTGGCCCTCCTCAACCGTTCCCAACGACCCTCTTTGCACCTCCGCTCCTACCAAATCCTCTTCGATACCCTTCCTACGACCCTTCCTTCTTGTAACTCCTTCACCTGCAACACACCAATCCTATCCACACTTTAGCGACCACGATATAGAGAGATTCTCAAAGAGAGAGATTGCACGACTAGGGTTTTGAAATAAAGAGTGATAGCCAGCAACTAGCGTTTCATAGTGAGAGAAGTTGCGACTATGATTTTGACAGGATGAAGAGTGGTGGTTACGAGGGTACCGCAGAGGGCTACGTAGTTTGCAATGGTAGGAAACTCATGGCAATGGGGATTTCAAGGAGGCAAAGTTGCAGCAATGGTGGTTCGTGGTGGCGGCGGCTAGGGTTAGGTTTAGAAGGAAGTTAGGATTTTGGTAAAGATAAGGACATTTTGGTAATTTTATCTTAGGACAAAATTATAATAAAATAAAATATCATTAAATGTGTGAACAAAGAAAGAATGAGATGTGAAAATAGAAGCATCCGTAATATATGCATACTGTATATGTTTGTGGTGAATAAATTGACAAAATCATCCTTCTTTGTTATTGCCTTTAAATCAAGATAGATGGATAGTTTGAATTGGACCAATTTAAAAGTTTTTAAGATTCAAACTGTAATTTGAATAAATGAAAACCATGGTGTCTTATTTGTAACAATAATCAAAGTTTGGGGTGTATTTTATAATTTGTCAATAATTTTCAAATTCCACCCTGTTTCATTATTATAATATGTGGGGCATGATGTTTAATTCATTATTTTTTAAAAATGTCCTAAAGTAATTGTTGAAATTAGAATTTAGCAAAATCTCTTAAAAAAATCATCTCTATTTCAAATTGTATTATTGCAAAATTCTCTCGTAAGATTCGTAAAAAAATTTCTGTTTACATCTTTCTTAATACAACTTACAAAATAATATTTATATTTGTTATTTTATAAGAAAATATAATATACGATAATTCCACCATTTAAAAAAACTTTCCAAGATAAAACATTTAGCTATATAACATGTTAAAATTAATTTTAACATTAAGGGTAAATTACACTTACCTCCCTTGATGTTTGATAAAAATAAAGTCTCATAATTTTAATATAATTACAATGACTCCTTTTAATAAGGTTAAATGAACCAAAACTAATACAATAGTGCAAAAATATAAAAATAAATAACTTAAAATATATATTTTTATGTAAAATAGAAGACAATATTTTTTTTTTCATTCATATAACTAACAAATTATTAATAAAAATGAAATTAAGTGTTATATAAATTAAATTTTTCTAAAAAAAAACTCAATATAATTTATTAAAATTATGAAATTTATTATATTTTCTTTAAATCTGACGAGAGATCGGTTAATTTACCCTAACATTAATTATTAAAGATGTTTTAAGATACATATGACTGCTAGGAGTAATGCTTTTTGTTGGCTGACAATTTTTTTTTCCCTTTAAAATAATGCAGGCCTCATGTGGTGGATCGCTTTATGTAAGTATTCTTCCTTCATCCATTCATATCAGAAACGTTCTTAGCTCTTAGCTAGGGTTTGGTTTACTTAAATGAATTGGAATATAATGATGATTTTATTAAAATAATTATTGATATGTTTGAGTTGAATAAAATAATAATGAAAAATATTACAAATAGAATCATTTTATATCATTTTAAAGGAATTGTCATTTCATAAAAAACCTTGGGAAAATTACTTATCACTAGACACATAAAAAAAAGAAATTACACAAATAAATATGGAGGGGTGCAACTTTTCATTTGTACCTCATCACAAATTCACTTGCACCCTCCCCCCCCAAAAAAAAAAACACTTAAGTAATCCCATTTCATACAATTCTCTCTCATCCCAATGAACCACGTAGAGTATTAGTTTTTTTTAGGAAAAATTACAACAGTACCGCTACATCCACTAAATTTTCCTCTGCCCAAATTACCCAATGAGTATCTTACATGTAGGATATTCATTTTTACCGGTTGATTTATTCAAGCAATTTTAACAGAGGAAAATTTAGTAGATCAAACATTTTTGAAATTATAAACACTTCATAAGATTTACTTAAAGTATAGAATATTCCTACAGTTTTGAAATTACAAATACCTCATTATCAGAATTTTTATTTAACATAAATAATAGAATAAATAAATTTCTAACTACTCTCCTATACAATAATAAAATTACTGAAATCGTTAATTGAAATATATTTTTTTTCATTAAAAATTATGAATTGACTTAATGATTTATTAATAAAAAGAGCCACTCATTATGAATTAGAATTTGAAAGAGTGGAATGTAATTTTCAAATCCACAGAAAACAATTCGTATTTTAAGCAAATCTCAGAAAGCGTTAACCTATTATTTTTTTTCCCACCATAACCAACCTTTAAGACAAAGCTCTTTATTCAAATACCAAACCAAGCCTTAAGTCCCATCAAATCGGGTCGGCTACATGAATCTTTCTTCTCTACTCGACTCTATTAAAGGCCATTTGGTTAGCCAAACCAAGGAGATTCATATCTCTATTTACTATACTAGTCCATGTCAATCTAGGTTTGCCCTTCTCCTAACACTTCCCTCTACCGTCACTGTATCGCACCTCTTCATTACTGCCTCTATTGGTCTCCGTTGTATATGATTGAACCATCTTAATTTATTCTCTCTCAGCTTATCTTCTGTCACTGCTACTCCTACTCATTCATGAATATACTTATTCCTAATTTTGTATTTTCTAGTCTTGCCACACAGCCACCTTAGCATACTTATCTCAGGCACACTCATCTTATCTACACGTTGTTTCTTAGTTTCCCAACATTTTATCACATACAACATTGCTGGTCTAATAGTCGTTTTTATAGAACTTTCCTTCTAATCTAGTGGGTACTTGTTTATCGCACAATACCCCAGACGCACTCCTCTACTTAAGACACCTTGCCTTAATTTGATGGACTACATCTACTCCAATCTCCCCAGACATTTTGGTAATTGATTATAAATAATGAAAAGGTTCACTCTTAGGTAGTTCTTGGTTCTCAATCTTCACTTCTCATCTGTTTCCATTGTTACTATTACTAAAATTACATTCCATGTACTCTGTTTTAGTTCTGCTTATCCTAAATACTTTAGATTCAAGTCCTTCTCTCCATGTGTTCAACTTAGTGTTAACTCATTTTCTAGTCTCATCCACTAACATGATATCATTTGCAAAAAGCATACACCATGGCACATCATTCTGAATATTTTTCGTCAACTCATTCATAACTAAAGTAAAAAGAGAAAGACTTAAGGTTGATCCTTGGTGTAACCCCACAGTGATTGAAAATTTTAACCAACGATCTAATAGTAGTTTCTACACCTTCATACATGTCCGTAATCACATCAATGTGGCCTTTTGTCGCCCCTTTCTTCTCTAACAGCCACTGGATTATATCCCGAAGCACCCTATCATATGCTTTCTCAAGATCAATAAAAACCATATGAATATCTCTTTTCTTCTTTTTATACTTCTCTATTACTCTTCTCAAAAGATAGATCACTTCCATTGCTGACCTATCGGGTATAAATCTAAATTGATTCTCTAACATGTCTGTTATATTTCGCAATTGGCATTCTATCAATCTCCCACACTTTCATTATATGACATATCAACTTAATTCCTCTGTAGTTATTGTAATTCTAGATATCTCATTTATTCTTATAGATTGGCACTAAAATACTCATCATCCACTCCACTAGCATTTTCCTAGTCAACAAAATATTACTAAATAACATAGTCAACCAAGCAACCCCCTTCTTACCCAAATATTTCCAAACTTCAATAGGGATATCATCGAGTCCTAGAGCTTTATTCGATTTCATCTTCTTAAGTACAATCTTCACTTCAAAATTCTTAATCCTGCGATAGAATATAGTCTTGATTTTCCTTATTACTAATTACTTCCTCCCCTTTTGACCTCCTCCATGTTCCTCATTTAACAACTTCTCAACATAGTTCTTCCACATCTCTTTAATCTCTTCATCATTCACCAACATCTTAGACTTCTCACTCTTGATGTACTTAACCAGATTAAAATATATTGTTGTCCTCTCTTTTATCGTAGCAAGTTTGTGTATTCTCTTTTCTCCTTACTTACTATCAAGTCTAGTTTATAGGTCATCATTGGCTTTCAATTTAGTCTCTCTCACTACTTTTTAGATCTTCTTATTAGCCAATCTATAGCTCTGAAGATTTTATTCAGTTCTATCTTTTTGTCACTTTTTAAAGCACTTTTTTTCGTCTTTACTACCTCTTGAACCTCATCCCTCCACCATAAAGTTTCCTTAGAGTTGGGTCCCTTTGTTTTTGACTCTCCAAGGACTTCCCTTGAGATTCTCCTCATATAATTGGCCAGCGAGTTCCACATAGTGTTAGCATCATCTTTCAAATCCCAAGTACCTTCTTCATCCATTCTATTCTTAAATATTTATAATTTATCCCCTTTAGATCCTACCATCTCATCTTACAGTGCCCACTATCCTTCATAGCTTGGTGTTTCCCTTTAAAGCATAAATCTAGTACCAAAATCCTAAGTTGGGATTAGCTCCCCTCCATATTTCATCTATCCATAGCTCTCCATATTCTTCTTGTTGGCTCTAATCCTATTGGCTATTTTGACACTTCAAAGGATAAAAATGTAATTGTCGCGTGCCAACAATGATCTGAAAAGTTCTAACAGAAGTTATAAGCCAATTTAATTTACTTGTCAGGCGATTGTGATTAGGTTTTTTTAGCCTCAATCAAGAGACTTTATAGGTTGTATTTTAGTAAGAACCAATGCAATATAACTTGAATTCGAAATAGAATGGGAGGGAGAGACTGAACAGAAAATGTAATTGATTTGAATAATGCAATTATAAAATGTTACCTTTAGTAAGGACAACTTCGAATACAAGAGTTACTTTAATCTACTTCTATGAAAAGTAAGTGCAATGCTAAATTTTAAAGATAAATGAAACGACAAAGACGTAGAGTTTGGATTTATTCTGGGGACATTTTAATCTTTGCTTTCATCTATTTATATCCTTCTTTTGGCCTGCGAAGTAGTTAAGCTGCTTTTCCTTACCGTAATCTCCTTTTTTGTAGCTATTTCTTAGGGTCACTTCTTCTCTTTATGCATGCAAAACCACTAATAACTGTTGTCTTGATAACTTCTTTCCCTTATGGCCTTCACATGTTGAATAACTGCCCTTCAGCTGCCCAAACTCACATCCGCTACTCATGTGAGTTGCTTCAAAGGTGGGTTTCGTTAATGACTTGGGCATCTGCATAATTACCCTTGCTTGCCAAGTGTCACCTTCTAACATGATGATTTAATTATGGCGCCAACATTACCCTCCACACTAGTGTAAGCAATATGGGTTACACTAGTGGTTCTAACTTCTGGTGCTTCGTTTTCTCCACGACCTCCACTTACTTAAGTTTAGCTTCCTTTATCAATGTTCTCTTCTATCATGATCTTTTGGCTTGCACTTCTGAATTTTTGTATTTAAGACCAAATAATCGTAAAGACTTAGAATCATCAACCTTTGACTATCGATCTTTGCCTAAAACATTTATCTTCAGAGGCTTCGAACTATTGCTGGTCTTGGTCAAATGTCTAACAAGGTTCAGGATGATGTAGATTTTTGCAGTGCCAATGCAATTATTCTTTCCAACTACCCAACGTCTCTAGAGTTGGGTTCGCATCTCAAGGTTGTTCATTTTGGCTCTCATTCTCATATCCTTCAGCTAGAACATTATACTATCCAAACACAAACTGCTTCCTTTTTCCTTCTTACTTTGCAATCCTCTTCTTTGGGATGGGACGCACCCACTTCTTCTTCCTCAACCACCATTGCTACTGGTTAGGACACTTTGAGAGTCATGTTCAACACCTTTCATTCATTTCAAGATTCATCGTCATCTCTTGGAATGGGTTGATCCTTGCACTATCCCTTTTACTCGTCGAAGTAGGGTTGTATATCCCTACAAACCCTGGATTATTAGTGAAGAGAAAACAAAAGAGGACTTACCAAAGGATACTAGTGAACATGTCCCAATCACACCTCTGCAAGTAGTCTTTCCTGTCTCATCCCCTATTGTTTCTCAAACCTCTACCCTAGTAATTCCTCCACATGTTGTTGATACCTTGAGCCAGACTAAACCTTTTAATTCTTCTTCACTTGATTCCCTGGTTCGAAGAACAGTAGAGAGCATCATTCTATCAGAGGTTGCTATGGTTGAGACTTCTCAATCAAAAATCTTACCAAGTTCCATACCTTCTAACAGCACTTTTGCACCATAAGCACAGAATCAAACAACAATGGAGGAGAGCATAAAACCTCAAGCTAGCAATAGTGAAGCTATGGAAATGTTAGGTTCTAAGTTAATGGCATTTGACCAAGAGCTTTAACAAATCATGACAGCTACACCTATTCCTTTGTTATTGTCTGTTGAAACTAG